ACTGCTATCTCGTGCTTATATTTTAAAACATAATGGCTAATTATATTTCAACACAGTACACAAAGATAACATTTAATTCTCAACGATTTTACTCATATCTCTACAACATGGCTCTATTTTGATCAAAAATTTCAAGCTCTACGAGCATGTAAGAGCACACGCGCAAATGCAAAACTTCCCCGCTACAAGCTAACTAAGGAAACGGGAATACAGGGACTGTGTGTGTTCATGAGTACGTGTTGGTGTGTGTACGTGAAGGTCAGCCGGCGGCGTCATTTCCTGGTCATTGGCAGCGCGGGCGCATCCGATGCGCTCCGCCTGTGCCGCCACTTGCGCCGCGTTCGCGACTCCTTCGAATGCCCTGGACGCATGCTAATCAATGCCTTCTTGGCAATTGACATTTTGTTGTAATACTTGCAATGAATGCATTATTATGTGTCGGTATTTGTTTCTTCCTTCGTTTTATTTCCAACTGATTCTAAGAGGCAAGTACCGCACGAAGAAATGTTAAAGAATATGCCCATGTACAGGTGCATATGTCTCTCTGGGAGTTTATTGCTTAGCGGCGGACATGCGACAGAAATATACAACTTTCGAGTCTTTTAATTTATGTACACCGAGTGCAATCGTTAAGGTTTTCGAAGAATCATAAGTTCCTAAACATTATTTCTTGTGGCGCATACCGTCCTATTTAAATATAAGTAATATCGAGTAAATTTAACTAATGAAACACAACCAATATTTAATGTATATTTTGTGAATAATCCACGACAACAAACTCAACTGAAAGTCAAACAAATACTACAAAACAAAAAACCTCAGAGATAGAATACAAATGTTCGTGTTTGACCGCTTATATTTTAACCAATCCACCAAATAACCAAATTTTTTGCCAAATGGTTACGCCTCTGCATCTATTAAGTAACATTTTGAGATATTGTTTAATAAAATAATTTCAATAATTTCACAAATATAGTAACATTATTCAGTACAGGAACACAATGACGCGTTTAAGGAGACTCTTTTAACTAGCAAAAATACAACAAAATTTTTTTGAAACTCAAAAGTTCAAAAGTCTTTCAATAGGATTTTGGTTGAAAACTAAAAAGAGCGTGTTTGTGATACGGTATTTATAGCAATTATAATAAATTGACAGAGAAAGTGTACTATTATTGCGAGTTTAATTCCTGGTATTTATATTTTAACTTGGTACTTTACTGAACTTACTGTTCTTGTGATAGGAACGTTGTTTTAAGCACTTGTAAAAGTTTGTAAGTATGTCATTGTAGGCATGTTAAAAGATCAAGTGCATTAATTTTACTGTTTCCAAAAATTGTCCATATTGGGCCCTTCAACGAACTATTTATTTTCCTTATTGCATACTCGTTTTTTAGAAACTTTTTTTTTTTACAAATGACGATACAGTCGAGTCCTGGCTTGTTACCTTTCCGGCGACACAGGATGAGCATAGATTCTATTGTAAAGGAAGGATACACGTTTAACAATAAAATGTCTTCATTATTTTTTGCATAAACATTCGTTCCGGTCGTGATGCATCGCACAAATAAAATTATTTCTCATTTTCTTTAACTTCCTTCCTTCGGTTTCCGATCATTATAAATCTTGGTTTTCTATTTACTTATACATTCAAGAAATTTGTGTTCCGCGTGAAGCAAATTATTCTTTGATTGTTACGGTTCAAGGATCAGTTTTAATTACGTCAAATTATTCTTGATATTTATCCTCCTGTACATAAGATCATACAATATCTACATCATGTGCAGAATTCTTCAAAAGTCAATCAAAAGCTAGTCTACAATTTTAGACTCACATATTCAGTCCGTTCATTACCACACTTTCAAAGGTAGTTAGATCTCTCTTCTCCGCCCACCTCCGCTCTATATTGGCAATAAAGGAAGTACACCTAATCAAAACTGAGCAATAAACACTCCAATGGGTAATATCCTCAAAACATTCGCTATCTCTTCCGCCTCAAACTATCGCGCGATAAGACCCAACGCTGCAGTTGCCTGGAGGAAATGCCCCTGTCTTATCTCGAGATAATGTATATTTTCACGTACGATAAAGACTTATCGTGCGCAAAAATAAACGATAACATTTTTTGCAAACTGATATGTTATCTTGTTTTTCGTACTATACAGTCGTTGCGTAAAGAGACCGTTTGGCGACTTTTTGCTCCAAGAAAAATTCCACGATTTACCGCCAACGTAGTTTCCCAAAGAGATGTTCAACATGCGGCCAGAAGGCCTTTGTTTCGCGGCGAAGCTCTAACGAGAAATAAAGCAACAAACAAGCATTTGTATCGCAAGAGGTTTGTGGGGTAACCCATTTATTGCAGCCGGGATGCGCAAGCGCAACCGGTTCCCCCTCTCCTCACTAACGCACTCGCATACTTGCATCCGGGAATCTTTCGCGAACAATTACAGTCTTTGCGCCCTGCGAATAAGGACCACTTTAGGGGAAGATGCTATTCCTTTTTTTCAAAGCCAAGTAGCGAAGTTGACATTCTAAAACTACAAACGGGCGTAAACGCCGTAACCTTGATCCTAACAACCAGTAGGATGCGTCCAGCGCTAACTATAAATAGACTGGCCACCGCATAAAATGCAGGTTTTTTACCCCGTTCCACCGCCGCCGTTCCCAGGGCTCGCGAGGGATTTTATGAAGCTTCTACTTCGTTAAATTGTAAATAACATAAGCACTGTTGTGCAACCGTTATCAACTTGAATTTTGTATCGAGTCACTAACGTCGTTTGCCGATATAGTATCGCGGTAATCCCGGCTTTTCCAGCGATCGTTATTTGAATTATTTTGGCAGCTTTTATAAAGAGGTAAACAGGTATTTCTATCCTTTCCTGATGCGCTCAAAATACGAAAACTCTAGCTTAGATACTAGGCAATGAAAAAATTAAAAAGGCAATTAAAAACTGGGCCTGTGTTTTAACGTGACTTTTCGCAATGTTCCCTCACACCAACCACGGCGTCAACATTGTATAGGGAGCCATTGGCGATAGCAGCGCGGACACGAGCCTTAGATGGCAGTGCGTTGATTAGTTAGTAAGACAATTGGCAGGCGCTCCTTACGCAACTGGAAGCGGTACGTGACGGACACGGACACGTGTAGCGTGCTGGGTGAACGACCGCGATAAGACGCGCGAAAATACGCCAGTTAGATAATATTAGACATAAACTAAAATGGCGGCGGCTACGCGCCCGGTTCATGTTTACACTAACAACTGAACAACAACTCTGCGAAAATTAATGAAACCGTTTAGTCCTAATTCCAAAGAACTTCATTAGGTATTACTAAAAAAACGTATATCCTAAATCTAAGCAGGGTATTATAGAATGTATAACAAATGAAAAGTATAACATTTAGTAGACATTATAATGAATGCGTTAATTATGTACGTGTCCCAACCTCTCGCTGTGGTAAAAATAAACTATGCGATTTGTAGAGACACCTTCACAGCCACGCGACATGACATCGATCGCCCGTCTGCCCACAAAGGATGTCACGCTCGCCAAAAATCGACGACTTCCTTATTGCGGTTTTGCTAGATAACTATTGTTTTTTTCTTCCGAGGCCAGGATAAATCACCCCAGAAACTGACATCGTTATTGACCTAGCTACATCGAACAGCTTTCCATTTTGTCAGACCTAGTTTCTTGGTAGTTTCCAGGCCGGTACCGAAGAAAAGTTTATTTGGACACGTTTCAAAACAATATATGCGCAGTTGACAGGATTCCGAAATAATCAAAACAAGTTTGTATGTCGTGACATGTGCTGGAGGAAAATCCGAAAGCCGGTGACAGGGCGAGGCGACAGCGGCGGCGAGGTGCGTGGTGAAGCGTGCGACGCGAAGCGGGCGCAGCATTGAGGTCAAGGCAGACACAGCGTTGACGCAATCTAGTCCGCGTTTATCTATTTCAATTCATTGTCTTATCAAATACTTGTATTTTTAACCGCCGCGCTGTTAGTTTCGTGTTGTTTGCTACGGTTTTCACTAACCGGATTTTCACGTTCCAATTTTCCGCGGAGTACTGCCCCGCGCTGCCTCGCCTCCCCCGCGGCCAAAATCTAATTTATTATTCGGAGTAGAACTATCAAATACCACAACAGACATGACATTACAAACATGGTTCTTATTCGCTTGCGCCGGTCACCGCTCGTCGCTCGGTGAACGCGATGAGCGACGGTAACCATCGGACGATATTCAGATAGCCGGCCAAACAGTGCCATTCATCATCCGTCAATGCAATAATTGAATTTCGATAACAAGCACAAACACAGCTAATGATTTCCCTGTACGCCGGGCCTCGTCGTTTCTTTTTAATTTATTGTTATTTTTATGACGATTGGCACATGTTATTGCAGCATGAGTTCAAATATATCAAACGCAAAAACAGAGATAGCACAATGAAACATTTCTCATAGGATGTTACGAATTGAGCCTATAAAAATAAGCAAATAGAGATTTTATTTACGGTGAAGGTGTTGTAAAAACTAAGCGCAGTTTTGACAACATAGACCGTCCTAACTTTCCCACAAGTGGAGCTGTGGGACCAACCTAGTCCCACTATTGTTCGGGTTAGTTATACAAGCCCTACACTTGTTTTGTAATCTGAGCCCTACGCTAACAATGTGTCGGTTCCGTTTATTCTTACCGTTTAGCGTTTGGTCAAACAATTCTTCTAATATGTCATGATTGCAAGCGTACTCGTATTAGAGTGCAAATGTTCAAGTTTCCAGATCCTACCGAGAACAAAACTACAAGCAAGACAAATTCTGAGATAATAAACGATAACTTCACAATAAAGCTATCTTTTCTATTCGAGAATTGTACTTAATAGAACGTTCTGCCTTTTGCCTTTAATGAAAGGGAACTTAATGAGTTTATCAATTTATGTTTAGAATTCAAAAGCTCCTGGAAATAAATTTGTCATAATATTTAACCAACGTGATGTTTATGTTTCAGTGGGCGGCGTGAACGAACGCGAGGCGTACGGGTACGGGTACGGCGGTGGCGGCGGGGTGGGCGTGGGGGGCGCGCACCACTTCGCCGCGCCCGCGCCGCCGCCGCTGCACTCCGCGCACGACGAGTTGCCCTACTCCGTGTTCGACTTTGGCGACTACCAGCGGCAGCACCACCACAACAAGCTCAAGCCCAAGAAGCGGCCGCGCCTGGACGCGCCGCAGCCCACCGGCGTGAAACGCAAGTCGCGCGAGGGCTCCACCACCTACCTCTGGGAATTCCTGCTCAAGCTGTTGCAGGACCGCGAGTACTGCCCCCGCTACATCAAATGGACCAACCGCGAGAAGGGCGTCTTCAAGCTGGTCGATTCGAAGGCCGTGTCGCGCCTCTGGGGCCTGCACAAGAATAAGCCCGACATGAATTACGAGACGATGGGCCGCGCGCTGCGCTACTACTACCAGCGCGGCATCCTCGCCAAGGTGGACGGGCAGCGACTCGTCTACCAGTTCGTCGACGTGCCCAAGGACATTGTCGAGATCGACTGCTCGCTCGCGTAGGCTGCCGACGACCAGACGGACGCTACCCCACCCTCAGCGGTGCGTGTCGATTCGAATCTCCAGTGCGGACTGTGTGTGAATGCGACGGACCTTTGTCATACGTAACTATTATAGATTCGCGTATTCATTTCGGTCTTACATTTTTTCACTAATGAATAGTAAATTCGTCTATTTGTCATTCAAATCATCATGCATTGTTTTTCAGATCGCTTCTAATGTTGTTGTTAAGATAAATACTACTCTCAAATCGAACTAATATTAACTTATCATTGAAATTAATATTTATACAAGAATAGGAGAGACGAAATTGATTGCTCAAATGTTTATATAGTACCTATATTTAGGGAACTTCAGAAGAGGAACTAATTTGCTAGATGTTATATGGAAACGGAGTGACTTTTGTATAATGTTGAATCGAATTTTTAATATTTGTATCGAAGTTTGTGGAGCGCCGAACGAGCGCCGAGAGAGCGCTCGGCGCACCGACTACTGTGCGAATCGGAACTTCCTACCTCAGATCTACGCAAAAATAGAATTCATATGAATTATACAATTTATAATATTCGAACATACAGTTTTTACAATATGCAATAAGTAAATAATATTATAGTGAAATAAGAGTTTATATAAAGAAATATTTACGTAAAAAGTTTATATAATGACAAAAATATCGTATATAACTACCCTCAGATTTATATAACTTTTTTGGTGCTTTTTATGGCCATTTGCATATTTACACCTTGTTACAGTCGACCCACTGCTGTTGATCTATCGTACATGTTTACTGCGGTGCGCGCGCGCAGCGCAGCTAGCGACTTGTTTGTTCCTTTGTTGTAGCGATACTCTATGTGTTCTCATGCTAATCTATTTAACACTATCGTTTTTAAACCGAATTTTCAATTGATATTATTTTAGGTTTTTAGATTTGTGGAATTCGGTGAATTCTGCACGAGTACTGAAACCTACTGCCAACTTTCTGTTAGGGGATGTTCTATTATTGTAAGGGATGATTTTGTGCGTTCATTGTGTTAATTATTACTATTATATAGACGTTACAGTAAGTGAGCTGTTTTAAGTGAAATATTCTAGTTTATTTCGTTTATTTAAATTACGGTAGGCCTGTTGCAGAAGCCTCGCGCGCGCAGTGCACATATCAGCCTCAGAGATTTTCATATACACCGCCTCAGTGCATATCAGGATATACAAAACCCGTAATCAATGTTATTTGTACCTATACGATATATCGTTTGTTTGTCGACATGCGCGAGGCTTCTATTTTTTGTTACCTGAATAAATATTATTAATAATTAATTACGATTTGTGGTCCAATGTTAATGAATCATAATACTTTAAATAGATAGTTGATAACAAACGGTTGTTTAAGGCATAGTCTAGTTCGCGTTGATCGAGAGACGGTACGATGCATGTTTCATTCGATGCGATGAAAACAATCCTTATATGTTCAAGATGAACTATGTACTAATAGACAATCTGTATTGTACGTTGCGAAGACTTATTATAGAGGGCGTCCGAACACGAGCGGGGAGCGCGGCCGCGCACCTCTTCCAGTTTATTCATTCATATTTTTATATACAAAGTTAAATATTTATCTAGAGTTAGGAGATAGATAAGCGAAGCTCTCAAATATTAACGTTGACTAGCGCCCGGCGCCGGCGGCTGCGCGCCCCGCTCCACCGCGAAAGGTCCAGTGGAGCCCTGGAAATCGAAACGTCAAGTTTTATGGGTGCTAGAGCGAGTCGAGGGACAGACAGCGAAGAGATGTTCTCTCAGCAACGAGTGTCACACCGTCACACCACCATCAGTTATCGATACATCCAGTGCGTTAGGTGATTACTTGTTAAGTGAAAAGATCTCAGTGTCCAAACTTCTTCGAACAAATCCAGTGCCCGTTTCATGTGATCAAATATTTTACATATACATATTAATAAAAGTGGAATTTTAATCATATTTTTATATAGATAGGAAGATTCTCGACGATTCTATTACTTTCGGCACTTCTTATGCTTTTGTAAATATAACTGTAGGTTTTAACTTATTTATTTCGTTTATTGCGAGAGCGGCGCGGTCGCCGGCGCCACTTCCGGCCGCCTTAAATAATCACCGGCGACACGGCCGCGACACGACACGGCGACCGCGCCGCTTTACGATCTTTCCTTTATAGAAAATTTCGTTCGTAGGTTACAAATGTTATTGTATGATAGTGCGTATAATAATTAATGACTAGTAGGCAATGAATGGACCACGCGATGGAAGGCGAGTGCTCTCAGAATTTATAATTCGGCACACTAGTACGCGATCGCTACTGTGAGATATAAGTTACCGGCAGTAGGCACAATGTTTGAGCAGGCATTTAAAATAATGCTCGGAGGTTTAAATAATTTTAGTCGAATTGATGTTGTTGAAAATCAAAGTTTCTAATTAAAATAATGTACTTAAATTTTTCCCTTGTATAAATTTTGACAGCACCTCGAGAAAATTATTGTTAAAGAAATTATTTTAATCGAGCCTAGTCTATTATCTTAAATTTGATTATAAATTAATTAATTCGGACGCCATAATCGGTACCGGGTCAGGTGTAGACCGGAGCTGTAACACACGAGCGTTGTACATTAAGGACAAGTGCTTTACTGATGTACAAGTGGAGGCACCCAACGCACGCCTCACGACGCAACGCATGTAGCTTGGTGTCGCTAGATAGGTAAAATGTCAATACTTGCGCGGATGCAATGTGAAGGTTAGTGAATTCGGTATAGAGAGGAGGGAGGACGCGTTTTGTCGTTTATTCATTCACGTTTCAATGGATTCTGATTAATTAATGTCCATTTGTAATTGTATTCCGGAAGCGTGAGTGCTAACATGAGTCACTTGTATACGAGCGACATCTGCCTGCAGCCGCCGGGCGTTGCTCGCAACTACCGGCCGCTAGAGGGCGCAACTTATTTTCGAAATGCCTATTCTGAGAGTTAGTGCGGTACAGTGATTTTGCGTTAAACTCGCTTTTAGTTTTATGCAATTAAAGTCCGATATTTTAATTATAGTTTTAGTTGTGTAATTTACAAAATACTGTATTTTCTGCCCCCTAGTTAAGTTATTTTTCTATGTATAGTTAGTTATAAGTGTAAATGAGTTAGCACATAATTTGATGCATGATGATAATGTTAATAAAATATCCACAATAAAATACAATCTTTTGTTTCTTTTGCATTAAGTATACCAATCCCAAAAATACAAATTGCAACCTTACAAACATAGATATAGAAAAAATTACAATATAAGCTTTGAACAATTACAATGACCACAGTGAATCACAGTTTAGCAGATATCGGTATTAATGGTGGTTACTAAACAAGCGAAAGGAGTATAGATTGATTGCAACAAACTTAGGAATGGAAATTATGACATTTTAAAATCAGACTTCTCGAAATTAACTAAATGCTTCCACAGACACTAAAATTTATTCGCTAAACAGTTGTCACTATTAACGACTAGCTTTTTATTTTCGTCGCGATCATTCGCGATAGGAGTTCCATCGGTCGCAGATTTACTGACAAATGGCGGTTGACTACTTTAAGAAGACGTAGTGGCAGTCTATAGTCTCTTTCGTTGTCGGCAACTACCCTCATCTCGACTTACATTATTATTTCTATTGCTGCTGTTAGTGTCTATTAGTATAAGTAACGACAGCAATACTCACCATCAATGCAGCGGATCCTGGGCCCTGATTTTAATTCAAACCGGAGTCGATACGATCGGGTAGCCCACCTGCAATATTTTATACGCCTCGACTCTTAAAAGTGCAGTTTCCGATCGGGAGAGGCAATCGAAATGGAGCTGCTAAACTGTTTAAGCCCGTCTTCACGATTTGATTTTCATTTGGCACTTCATGATGTCGATGCTTCGCGTGTCAAGTGTGGTACTTGACGCTATTTGGAGTATTAGTGTGATCCTGTGGTTAATGTCACTTTGTACCAAGTGTTGAAGCCGAATGGCTTCAGCGCATCATTGTTTTTAAAGGTTTTTGACGTAAGCACCGAATAAGAACGGATTTTGCACATTCATCCCCTAAGGCGGTGAAAAGACCTAAAGATACTTGTTGTATACAATTGTTAACCGCTGAAATAAGAGACGTTGTAAAATTGATTTAGGCTCGCTGTAAGAAGCACATGACAACGTGTTACATTATGTATACAAAATCAAGCAAAATTAATTAATTTCAGAAATTAAACAAGTTATGTGTTACATTGTTTTTTGAAAAAAAACAATTACAATTACAATTAAAAGATGTTCGTGAAAAATGAAAACATTACCTTATCTAGACTATTTATTTTTAAGAAATAAAGAACACGTTAGAATTTTTTAATTATCCTACTGGGCAATGTTTTCAATAACATATTTCATCAGACCTGCATTATCGTCATAATAGCAGAATATCCACCGTTTATTTAATGATAACTTCAATATTTGGATCTTAGATCTGGTTAGATAGAAATGGGACCTGGAATATCGCCACATCTTAAGTCTCTGGATTTTTTTTATGGTTCTATGTAAAAAAAATAATTTACAAAAAGTCTTATGAGACTGTAGAAGAGTCAAGACATAAGATACAAAATATTATTAGCGTCCACCATAAATCTTTGCAGGAGACTACACGAAGCGAATCTCAAAAGACTAAGTCAATGGAAGAAAATGGGTCCCACTATATGGGTAACAATTGGACGTAGTTAAGCAAAAAGGATGCAATCCACAAAATTATCAAAAAAAAATGAGTTGTATGTACGAAACGGTTCCTAAAGTCCTTATATCATTGATATTTTCCATTCTGTATATTGTCATTAACATTAGTAGATAATGAATCCTGATACTGAAAATCATAGTCGTTTTATTATATTTAAATGAATCAAACAAAATCAAATTTTATTCCAAATTTTCTAATGCAATAACTAAACCAAACACCTGAGTAATGCTCATACGGTATTTTGATTTTGGCTGCTACAGTAACTTTAAACGACCCATTCACTACCTGTATTGCAGTCCGTCGCGCAGGCAGGAGACTGCTCGTATACTATCCTGCGTATGTTCCACATATGAAGTCCGCAGAACACATTGCAAGATTGCAGGATGGTGTGAACACAGCGACTACATTCATAATCCTGCGTTACGCGGTGTACGGCTAGGTGGACTGCAATGCAGGATAATTAATGCTCACTTTTACTTCAATAAATATTCAAAGGTATTATAATAAGGGATATAAACTATATAATCATTGTTTTTTGGCCTTTTTTGTGACATCATTGTATTCGTTGATTGGTACCCTACCTACTACTACTAATACTTACTTTACATTAAAAGGAAATTTGTTCATGGGCAAACCTGATTACTGTTTTTGGGCTCTCTTTTAAAATTTTGCTTACAGCTCACACTAGATTTTGTGGGGTAGCCGCATTGACTTACAATTATATGGACGTCGGGTCCGCGCTAAAAAGTGTCCGCACTTGTAAGGCGCTAAAATCGTATACAGAGCGCGACACTCCGCTTTAGTCTTCATTTGTTCTACGGACAGCGCGATACTGCGATGACATAACGATTTAAATTTCGAATAGGTTGACTTGGGACATTTTTTTCGTGGTTTTTGTATTAGACCCGTCGTCCATTTATTTGTAAGTCAATGGGTAGCCGTGTTAATTTAATATTACAGCAAAATTATATCCGTCTTGATTTTGTAAGTCAATGGTCTTGATGTAAAAATAAACTGAACGTATCCAATTCTATAGTCTTAGTGACGTGTTGTTGTCATGTCATATTGTGTTAGACGTCTTGACGTGTATTCACAGCTGTCAATGCACATTTTGTTTCCAATTTCACAATAATGCGAAGGAAAAAGACATAATTGCTTTGCAAAAACTGGTGCAGCACATGTAGTATTCTATATGTTAATGTGAGAGACGTTAAAATTTTTCCAAAATGGTATTAATGACTATGATAGCACGGGTCGTCGACGGCCTGCCTCTAGCCGCTACGATGCAAGAAGACGAACAGGTAACTGTGAAAAACACTGTAAATATAAATTGCTCAACCTGTTGCATTGGTTTGCAATTCATAAATTTAAGATTCAATTCGAAATATATGAAAAAATTAATACGCTTGATTTTCATCACTTCAATGGTCGTTTTTTATTATTTGACTCGTAGGCGTTTATTTTTATCGTTAATATGATTTGCTATGGTGGTTCGCAGAGCGGCTGCAATATTCTGGAGTACCAGAACCAGGCCAAAATGCTGTTTAGGAAGCTAGGCCCTCAATCGCCCATCCGGTGTTCCATTGAAACTGGACCTTACCTATTCCAGTGAGTCCTGACGCTTGTTATTTATTATTTTCGTATTAAGTTTTGATTTGTCTTTAGAACACAAATTTTGTTATACAATAGTACTAGTAGTCATAACATAGACAAATCGCAAACAAATATGTATATATTTCCAGTTATTTAATTGAGAACGAGATCTGCTACCTAGTGCTTTGTGAGAGAAACTATAGCAAAAGGCTAGCATTCAGCTATTTAGAGGAAATTGCACAAGAATTTTATCAACAGTACGGTAAACGGGTAAGTCAATGAATAAAGCAAACATGTGACTTGTATCGGATACTAGAAGCAAATATTCAACATTCATACAATTGCTGTTGCCGCAACCAGCAACTGTCCGGTTGCTGCAATCTGCGACTATCGATTTCATATCGATTGTGTGAAAATAGAATATTCACTTCTTGTTGCTTGTATCCAACATGAGACACACATTTGCACGATGCCTAACTTTGAAATATATTCATACTATGACAGAACGGCACAAATAATCTGCTAATTATAAGTATAGTACAGTTTAATGCATTTGTATTATCTTATCAATCTGGCTTGATACAAAGGTAAAAATAATTTATACGGAAATTAAAAAAACATGATTATTATCCATTTTTATTGTCATATTATTACATCCAATATACATTATATTACAATCAATGTTTTTCGAATGGGGCTGAATACTTTATGAAAATGCTTTAAATGTCAAATTATAATTATCCTGTTATTCAATTTTCAATAGCAAAACCTGATCATAAATGACTTTCATAAATACTCGGCAGGTGAACACAGTAACTCGTCCCTACACTTTCATTGAGTTCGACACGTGGATGCAGCGCGCACGGAAGCAGTACGCGGAGGGCGGCGCGCGGGCACGGCGCGCCGGCGCCTCCGCTCAACTTAGTGGACAACTCGGAGATGTGCAGCGCATCATGATGCAAAACATTGATGATGTGTTGCAGAGAGGGGCCATTTTGTCTGGTAAATACTTCAATTGGGAGTGCTGCAGTGCTCAACCAAGTTCATTAAAATACATTACTAAAGTTTAGCAATAGAAAAAACATATCGCGAAAACCTAAGAAGGTTTTCGCGATTGTTACACATAGGAAATGAAACTGTTTTTCCGGATTTAAATCGCGTATATTTGTTTTTTCAAACAAACCGACGTTTCGGGCCCTTTACAGGTCCCATGGTCATGGTTGACTGACAGTCAACCATACGCAAATACGCAATTTAAATCCAGAAAAACAGTTTCATTTCCTAAATAGAAAAAACAGTTTCTACTTCTATGTTTTTTTTTTACAAAATGGTGTCTATTTCCAGAACTGGACACGAAGACTCAAAACCTATCTATGATGTCGCAAAAGTACAAGAAGGATGCGACATACCTCAACACCAAATCAATGTTGGTGAAGGTCACTGCAGGTGCTGTCATACTGCTTGTTATTGTGCTCTACTTCTGGGTTCTTTAAGACAGCTGCATTGCTGTCAATGCACTTACGATCTGTACTATTTGCTTGTCTACACTGTCCAATATCCTTTATGTGACTTGCAGATTGAGTTCCTTGTTCATTCCTATACTATTTTAAATGTGGGCTTTAAATCTCAGAATATTGGAAATGAAACTATTTTTTTAGAGCAGTAGAGCTCCTTGTGGTGGGGTTCGTCCAGGGAAGTGCTGCCAACCGTACCTATTTCTGCCGCCAAGCAGTAATCTGAGCATCACTGCGTTTCGGTTTTGAAGGGTAAGGTTGCTGGTGAAGTTACAGGCACATGGGACTTGTCAACTTGAGTCTCAGGGTGACGGACGCAGTGGCAGTACCCAGATCTTTGTGATTTAGGGTCGTATTCCAGAACTCTAATCAATGCTCAAGTCAGGATTTGAGCAGACTTGAGTATGATTTCAAGCACTGGAAATACGACCCTAATGGCAAGGACTTGAGTATGATTTTCAGTGCTCACTGCAATACTCAAGTTCTGACTTGAGTATTGAATAGAGTTCTGGAATACGACCCTTAAAGATCTGAGTGGCACTGCTACTGTTAGCGCCCAGTTACACGAGGAGAAAGTTTTCGCGCGGCGACCGCCCAGTTACCAAGTAGATTCGCCATTAATGTACATGAATCTGAATTCTATTTACTAGGCAACAACATTTAAAATCCTCGAATAATACAACCACGGGGCCGCCGCGTAGACCAAATTCAAGCCAGCCTCGCCCGTGTACTCGGGACGCTCATTTAAGTTATAACGTAAAAGCTAAATAAATAGAGTATTTTGCCGTGACAGTTAAACACACGCGGTCGCTGCGCTGGGTAAGCGCGATGAAATTCGGGTCGTGTCTTACCACCGCCTGGTAGTAACGCGACTTGTTCGTCCAGTCACTTTGTAGCGTAAAGAAAAATATTGCATAGATGTGATACCATTACTTTACCATCTCAGTCAGCTGTCCCTTATTTTTCATGTCTATGGCTGTGACCTTGTGACCTTGGGACCTGTATACTGGCCCGAAACGTTGGTTTGAAAAAACAAATACACGCGATTTAGATAGGAAAAAATAGTTTCATATCAAATGTGTGAAAACCTGGATATCTTAATGTATTTATTTTAACTAGCCCCTCCCATACCACTGCCAAGCACGTGTATTGGTTTAATGATTCTCAAGTGCCCAAATATGAGTAGTTTTTATTATATACAGTAATTATTCTTAGCTTAGTCTGTTTATTGATATCACTGTGGACAAGCAAAAATAGCAATATATGTAAGGGGTCTTTGGTAACACTGCAATTACTTTCATATTTAGAAAGAATTTTATTTTTGCCACAATATTTCCAATAAATGTGAAATGCTATGTCATGTATAGTTTGTAATTGAAAGTAATTTTAGGAAGTTCCTAACAATGATTTTGTAATTAAATTTGTCGTATTTTTATAAATGTACAGACAGCTACAATGTGTTGTTTATGTTAACGCAAAAACGAATGACAAATTTGTTCTGTATTTATTAGAAGCAATATAATTAACGAAGTTCTAATATGCTAAAGCATTCCAACGAAGTAAGAAAGACATTAAAAAGTATGTGTAACAAAAAAATTGGAAATTTTTTATTCCTTATACTTTTGAGGGTAGCTCTTTTTAATTAACCAGGCAGTGTAATAATGCTTTATCAAAAAACAGACGAAGGTTATCCACTGATTCAATAACTTCATATTCTACCAGAGCTCAATATAATTAGTCAAAAGAAGCAACACATCATTTGAAAATACTGAATTACTATGCACGACGGCCTTTATTTTATAACTAAAGTAAGACTAATTAATTTCTCCAAATAATTTTGTCAAAACGCTAAGATGAATGATACTTTACCTCTTTCGATAAACTATGAAAAAATGTGAAAACGAGCAGTATACAGAGAGAAAGTAAGCAAATATTTTCAAGAGAGTCTAAATATTGAAGCAGTACATACGACTTTTGTAGTTATTTACATTGGACTAGTAGACAATTTTATGAATATGGATAATTAAAATGTTCAAAGAAATATTCTTTTATGATTATATATTACTTGATACTCTCTCATGCCCTTGGTTTCATTTATTTATGAATTAAACATGTGAATCTGAATTAGACTGTAGAAATCCTCCAAATCGGTTAAGCCATTATTGATTAATTGTGTAACAACCTCCTTACCCAATTAAGAGATACCTATATGATGCATCTGTCTTTGTTTAAGCGCAACTTCGGAATTAAAGTGGGGTCAAAGTATCTTTGTTATAAACAATTTGTATTCGCCAGTAATATTCAGCACATGGGTGTGTACGGTGGAGGAATGTTGTAAATTTTATCGCCTATTGTTAATTGTATAATGTATTTATTTAAGATGAAATAAATATGCATTCTTTTCAATGTTAGTTATTATTATTTATATTATTATTTTAGCGATTGCTTTATTAGTTCAATAAGGATAAAAAGTGACGTATATTTTTTCAATTTTAAGTTTTAACATCACTGTTATCGTTCCGAAGGTCAGTTTCATTACTTCTTGTGTTGTTAGCCAAATGGACGCTAGTCACTCCACACAAAGCATTCCGGAGCCTTAAAGCATTCGCTGCACTCAGCATCTGTGTATAAAAGCAGAACAATCAAAGTAGTTTTATCTTAACATGGCGATTCTTAAACAATATTAATGTGGTTGATAATCAAATTAATTCGCATTAATATACAGGGTGATTTATTATCACTATCAAATTTTAATATTATGATCGTTTATGAAAATACAATATACGTGTTTTTATTTTAGTATCACTCGGTACTAAAATGTTGAGATATTTTTTTATTATTATCAGTCGCCAGACTATAAATAAATTGCTAGAGGGGTTTTGGCGTTTGAGAGCGAGGAAGCCACTGCTCAGCCTCTCCTAGTTATCGAACACGTGCTGTCGTTTCAGTCTCTTAATTTTGCCACCATCAACCAGTGCTTTAGCGAGAGGATTCGGATGAGTGTTGAGCCGATCCCTGTGTTTACGTCTATATACGTCCATCATTTTTACAATCGTTGGAATCTCCAGGTATTTGAAGTGTTGAGATACGAGTTTAAAATGTTGAGATATGACCTCACAAACTCATCCAAAATACGGCCACAATTTTAGGCATACTACACCTAACATACCCTGCGCCTCAGCTCCGCCCACTGCCCGCGCGTCACGATCGTACTCACGGTCAGTGTGCGGTGATGGATCAGTGGCGCGTGCTAATTATGCTTAGTTAAAAACTTGTAACCTTTGTCATAACATAACACCGACAATTGTTTAAAAAAAGAAATTACATTAATATCATCTGCATTACTTATTTGTTTTTCACGACACAGGAAGGAAATTAAAATAACCGTTTTGACGCTTTATGCCTGAAACCCAAAATGCCAATCGGGCACAATGTCACATTACGCCGCCTTACTTTCTCAAACTCGTATCTTAAAGCACTGAAGTTACTGAAAAGCAAAAAATGGATTGTACATAGAAATTTTGCAAGCTGATTTTACATCACATTTCCTTCATAGTCATACACTGGTTTTTACCTATTCTTAAAATAATGCATCCAAATCAACATTTGATAAGAAATTTAAAATAGATAGAATGATTTGCCATCTCCTGAATAATCACTCTTTATAAGATACGAGTTTGAGAAAGTAACGCCAAATGTTGCTGCCAGGAACAGGCCTCCCTCCTGACGCACGTACTAATGTCCAATAGTGGACGTCATTCGTCTGAAATAATGAAACGAGGTTCTGATGTTTATAAAAATGTATGTAACGTATTAGCGTGTTGTATTGACTAGCTAATCAAACATTATCAGTTATTATTTTGGACAAATAATTTAAATGTGAAAATTTTAAACTATCTACTGATAAAAAAGTCACCCTGTATATGTTTCTGTAAGTATCAAAGGATGAACACCTCTGATTCATCCGGTAAACAATAGTACAATATTGTATGTAGCAATTAATAACCTGTATAATAGTAGCAAATATGACTGGTCTGTTCTTCCATTGCAGTGTGCCAAAAATCTGTACTGGATATGGCACTACAGTAGACTGCGGAGGATTCTTCATGTGCACCATAGACACCCTAATGTGGAGCTCATCGAGGGTCATAGTTGGAGTGTCTAGCTAAAATGGTCACATAAGTAAACAATATGTAACAGATTTATTTGCATTTTATATCTGTTAAGAACATCCATAGCCCAATAATTTGCAATGAAAGCACTGGATGAGGAGGTCCTTGGTGCTATTCCCAGTGAGACTAATTTTAAAAATATACTTCTCCAAATGGGTCCTACTCTGGGTGTTCTAGTTACTATTCCAATGCTCTGGGTACTCATAGCACAGAGAAATCCTTAATTTTTAACAGGTTGATGTGGTTGGCTAGAAATTACAAAAAAAAATGTTTTCCTGCTGAAAGTTGATAAATATAGTTGATAGTTTTTTATTAGTCTCTTTGTTAATTTAAACTGGTTACTCAAAGACAGGAAAAGTTATCATCATGTTGTATCAAGAACTCAAAATTAAGGTGCTGAACAAAGATATTAATTATCACATTTAAAATCTATAATAATTTGATTTGGAATAACATACTTAATGTTGTTTTGTTTTAATTTCCGCATGAAGTACATAGAGATGCAAAAGCATTTCCCTATTTTTAATAACATTTACTCCATGGCAATAAGCAAGTTAACAAGAAAATAAAGTAAATAAAGTGTACTTCTTTTATATAACTAACAATGAATATTTTTATTTCATACCTTTTTAGGTGACTGAAAAGGAACTGATTATTTTATCATTTTTATCATATTCTTTACTGTTCTAATTGAAACACCACAAGCTACAAATACAGTTATTGGACTTTTTGAAAGTAACCATTGTTGTCTTTCATGAAAGTATTTGCTTCATGTAAAAAATACAGTTGTGCCTGTGACGGCAGCTTTCCTCCCATTGTATAATAAATAAAAAATATAATAGCATCTCTATATACTTCCAAGTCGACTGAAAGCGTCCAGTCTGTACCAAAGGTGAAGGGCAACTGAATAAAACCCGATGACAGTCGAAACACAAAGTTTGCTGAGAGACATTGAGAAAATGAAGCACTGTACTTCTTCTTGTAAATGTTATGGCCCCATCGAATTAATAGATGATTTCACCAATATCAAGTTGAGGAACACACGCATTTTTACTCAAAAACAGACTGGTGAATTTCGACAGAATTCACTGAGAGGAGAATCTACAATGACAGAGAACCTACACAGATTATTTCAGAAACAAATTGTTTTTTAAATAAATTTACACAGCACATGCACAAAAGGAGAATGGGCTAACGTTAGGAGGAAGTTGATATTAACGGGACAGGGGAATTTAGGTGGGAGGTTATTATACAGAGGAGTGACACAACGGTTGTAATTTAAATTATACTCACATCTGTCAAGAAGAACTTTCCATGAACACTCTGTAAAACCGCAACTGTTCTGCATTTTAAAACATTTTCTTTACATGTTTCACTGATGACAGTCAAATCTTTTATATCCGAGTATATGTAAAAGTCACGCTGGAAAAACAATATAAAACTATTACAATCTAAGTAGTAGTTTACATTTAAAATAATAAGAAGGTAAGGTAAACTTACTTCAGGAGTTTCGGAAGAGAAAGGTAGATCGCAATAAGAATAACATTTTAAGTAAGACATTATTACCAGATGTGTAAATATAAATTAAATTCTAGTCAGATTCTTGATTTTACTTAGATCACAATCACAATTGATCTATTTGACATTTAAACTTTGTGGTTTGACGTTTTACATTTACGGTGTAAATCACGCAACTCATAAAAAATGGAGAAAAATAAAGGAACAACCACAGAACAAATTACCCGCCAACGAGCACCATCCGCCAGTAACGCCAATAGATTACGGCTGCGATCAGTGTTGCCAGACTTTTGCGAAGTTAATTCGTCAATTTCTGTGCATTGAGTAGAGTTCTGGAATACGCCCTTGAGAGTCGTATTCCAAAACTCTACTCAATGCTCAAGTCAGGATTTGAGCAGACTTGAGTATGATTTCAAGCACTGGAAATACGACCCTTACTTGACGGACTTGAGTATGATTTTCAGTGCTCAATGCTATACTCAAGTCCTGACTTGAGTATTGAGTAGAGTTCTGGAATACGACCCATAGGGTCGTATCCTGTATAGGTCGGATCCTGACTTGAGCATTGAGTAGAGTTCTGGAATACGGCCTTTAGACTTAAAACAGTCTGTGGCTAACTGCGAAAAGCCAAGAAAAAAAAAAGAAATTGTCATTTTTGTTATTGTTCAGCTGCTCTTGTGGTCACAAGTTGTGACCACAAATTAGAAAGATTGTGACGATAGGTACTAAAACACAACTAAAAATTTTAATTCACCAACTTTTTTAGAATTGCGCATTTTTATTGTTGTACAATATGCCGTCAACACTTGTAGAATTGCGACCTAACCGACGCCTCTTAGATCATGAATTCGAAGGTTACAAGTTAAATTTACTGGCGCTGCCACATTACACACATGATCTTGTTTCTCCCATTGACAAACTTTACCCAGACGAAGTGCAATACTCCTTCGTGCACGCTAAACTCTTCGCGCTCCATAACCACCTTGTGAGCGATGACTGGGACTATTCCTACAATTGTTATTACATCGATAAGAAACAGCAAGTGCGGCATATTATGTTCGAAAGTACAAACCATACGTTCCATAATACGGTTGTTTACGATGTCCCAGCGCATGTTCAGAGAAAATCTGGTCATTTCAACCTGTGTCTTGCGTTTCCATCTGCCAACTTAGCGATCGTTAGTGATGGCACAGGGTACCTGCACATAGTCGAGACCGGTTCTAGAAATAAACCAAGCCCAAATCAGTGGCAGACAATGCACTCTAATCTTGTACTTGGAGAAAATAAATACTTCATTATCATTGATTCAAGAATTCATGAAAAGAATAATAAAGAATCACTCCACTGCCTCCTTCAATCAGTTGAACAGAATGAGAACCACTTCTTCTCAGTTCTTACTTGGGTTACATTTCAACATGATGGCAACTGGAAGCAAACAAGCTTAAGGCAAGCTCAAGGTAAAGGCATAGTTCATTATGCGGCCATTGAGACAAGCTGTACTGCACTGTACATAGCATCAGATAATCCTTTCAAATTTACAACAGATTCAGAAATGGAAATCAAAGAACCATCTATAGAAACAGAACAACAAAGAAAGATTATTTATACTTGGTTGCAGACTACAGATGACATTACAGTTACATTGAAACTTCAGCCATTGTGTGACAAAAACCTTTTAAATATTAGTGTTACCCCTTTGACCATCAAAATTAACTATGCTGACAAAACTTTTGTTGAGGGCAAATTGAGGTATAAAGTAGACTGCGAATTGACAACATGGAATCTTCAAGAAAATGGCCAACTGGACATTTTATTGACTAAAACAGACAGCATGCTTTGGGATGAATTAGTAGAAGGTGGAGACAAAAATGGAGAGCAAATCTTGGATGCTAGTTTAGTGGAAGAAGCTCATCAAAGATTAGCTCATTTGTGCTCGGAAACTGAAGTCACTGTTGACCAGTCTGCACCTGGGTTCTCTACCCAGGAGTTGGAAGAGTGTGATGCTGCTTCGGAAGAGGATACTGTGTTGGGTAAATTTCATATAAGTTTATTCAATACATTTATTGATTCTTAGCCTTAAAAGAAAAAGAATATTTGTCTATTGCTTCACATACTGTAGCTTTACCATGTAAGCTTAATTTGGTAAAAATAATATTGTAATTGATTTTTTTTTGCAGTACGTCTGGACACAACCAATCATGAAATAACACACAGAATTCCACTTAGTGTTCATCAATACCTGTTTAAAATAAAACTGGAGACAAATGAAGTGCCAGCATTGGCCTTACGTCATGATGTTGATGCTTGCATATGGCAGCCATTTGCACAGCTTGTCAACTCGGATACTTGGCCGGTGAAACATCAAGGGACTCTCCTTGCCTTCGGTTATGTACAGTCATCAAAACAAAACAGAAAATTTGTCACATGTCCACCAAATTTCTCTTACAGTGTTGTCTGTGAAGCCACTAGACACATTTTCATTTATAGAAGTTCAGGTAGCCAAGATTGTCAGCTAAGAAAGCGTACTAGTGGTGCAATGAAAACAGTGAAAATTGGACAACAGCATGTCTTCAACATTGATAAATTTGGAGAAGTGTTAGGAATCAATGCTACAAATGATTACTTATTCTTATTAACTGAGAGTACGCTTTTAGCTGTAGGGTTGCAATGACGTTGCTCTTCTTTTATAATAATAAAGTATAAAATATGTTTGAATACAATTTTTATTTCTTAATACTATTTTATAATATCTTAAACTATGTTTCTGTTTCACTGTCAGTCCCTCCTAAACTGTCTTCTGAGGAGTATCCTGTTGTAAAGAGAAGATTCTTTGGTCTCTTTTTCCTTTCCTCTTTCAACTCTTTCTCAATCTCCATCTGTTTTTCTTTGGCTATTTTCTCTGTTAACAACTGCCGTGGCCTCTTTCTATGACGCATCTGCTGGTTGTTTTCCTTTGTATTTTCATTTCTGATTTGTCCACTTAGAATGTTATTTGATGTAACTTCACATCCCATTGGTTTTGCACTTACTTTGTCATTACACTCCATGTGAGCTTGTTTTTCATAATCAAATTCATCTTCTGCAAATAAATGTCACGTGGATTAAATTTCTTTCAAAGAGTGCATACGTACAATCTCTATCATGTTAAAATTAAATGTCAATGTTCAGTATTTATTCTTGGACAAATAGATTATATAAAATAGCAAACAAAATGTGTAGGTACCTGGCACAACAATCTCAAAATTGTAAGCATGGTCTTTGAGAACAACAAATATGATGGGAAACTCCACAATACATTTTCCAGAAAGATTCTCAGCCAAGGACTCTGTAGGATCAAGCTCGAAGAACTTTTTAGCGGAACCTTTAACTTTTTCAGCTGTAAAATAAATAAGCAATTTTATAGTTTTAAAAATAATAGGGTAAGTCTGCAATCAAAATCAAAAACTGTTCCAACCATGGTGTACCTAACACTCTTAATATATAAAAAAGTTTAGTATTTTATCTATTTTTACTCATAGTAACAAAAAAAAAATGTAAAGTAATTTGGTTAGTAAAAAACTTGGTTTTGATTTGTGACAGTAATTTTTATTTTTTGAATGGCATATATCCTGAGAACTGCAATCTATCCTAAGATATATTAATATAGTAGGTTTATGAGACATTTATAAGTTTTCAGTAACTATCCATACATAAACTTCACGCTCTTTTCATAAAGAGATTGGCAGCTTAGAGGATGGAGTTGGCAGAGACTACAGCCTTCCACTTGCTAACATCTTGACACCTTTTTTTTGTGTTTGGTCTTTCGCGGTCAGCGTTGAAGCCAATGACAAGATAAATTAACTTCATTTAAAAAAACAGGGAAACCTTCATATGTTAAGGAATTTTGGAAACGGATTTAGGAAAAAGAGAACTTAGAGCGTTAGTGAGAGGTATGCCCCAGGGGTCCTTGTTAAGTCCAATAATGTTCTCCATTTTCACTGCCGATCTACCTGGGTGCATAGAGACGTGTAAATACCACTTGTACGCAGATGATACCCAGCTCTATTACTCTTTTGAAGGTAAAAATGGCGGAGAGGCAATCAGGAATATTAATCATGATCTTCAAAAAGTTCATTTATGGTCAAAAAAGAATTCTCTTGTTTTGAATCCAGTTAAGTCCCAAACATTAATTCTAGGTACTAAACTCCAAATAAAGACCGTCCTCGACTGTGACGAAAAAATCAAAATAAATAACGTTGAACTCGAGTTGGTAACTTCTGCGCGTAATCTCGGACTAGTGTTGGATGGCGAACAAAGATATGTAGAGCACATAAATACCAAAATTAGAAATAGTTTCTTTAAGTTGAAAACACTTTATAAACATAGATCATATCTTAAAGAAGACTTGCGCCTCCTCTTGGCTGACCTACTTGTGCTATCACCCTTCAATTATTGTGCTACCATTTACGGCCCTAGGATAAATAGCAATACCGAGAGAGCAATACAGCGAGTACAGAATGCGTGCATTCGTTTTTGCTATGATGTACCTAAAAGACAGCACATAACGCCGTATCTTAATTCAAAATTAATCCTTAATATGAGCGCCAGAAGAGAACTACAATATGCCTGTACAATCCATAGAGTAATCTGGAATAAAAAACCAGAATATCTTTTTGAGAAACTTACTTGGAAAAAACATTGCTCAAATAGAAATCTCCGTTCCGGCGCTCATAATAAGCTAAAGATTCAGGCACATAAATCAGCGCGTTATAGAGGGTGTTTCAGATTTAATGCAGCAAAAATTTGGAATGATTTACCTCCGCCTTTGAGGCATAAAATGAATGTGGACACCTTCAGAAATAAATACAAATCTGCATTAATTAAGAAGCAGTTTGCGGCTGAAAATCTGAAACACGCTAGCTGCAAATTTTTGGCATTGAAGGATTTCTTTGTGTAGACCCTACTAGTATAATACACAAGATACATCGCATACACACATACTCATACACACAAACAGGCACACACCACATCACACACACACACACACACACACACACACACACACACACACACACAC